CAAACAGGACATTTTACTCAGTATTTTGTTTTAGTGTGTGGGGGGAATCATAATTGTATTTAGACTTTATATGGCAAGGGTTACTCAGTTCACAGCAGAAGCACCTGCAGCAAATTAATTTGTTGTAGCACATTAATTATCTCATAGCTTCTATTTAGGCTGCAGCTGTTGCTATTATGTTAATAATATTTTTTATTACCACTGTATACAACAGGTTATGGCAATAATAGAAATATCTTTCTCTCTTTTTTTGGCTTCTCCCCCCTCCCGTTGTTTCCATTTTTCTATGTCAGAAGGGGAGAATGAAAGAAATTTAGGCAAATTAAGCCCCAAAGCGCACTATAATTTTCTATTTCTGAACTGATTTGTAAGAGAATGGGTAACTGAAATTAGCAAAGAATCACCCCACACAAAGATGGCGCGTGCAGAATTTGTGAAAGCGAAAAAGAAGACGAAGGAGAAGCAAAGAGGGACGGAATACTGCAGTGCTAGGGTGGTGAGTGTTTGGATGGGGGCGGGGAAAATGCTGCAGTTTTCATGAAATAATAAGGTGGGGGAAAAAAAGGCATACAAAGAGTAGGTTTTTCATTGTTTGTAAAATATAAACACAGATGAATTCTGTCTTTGGTTTGTTCATGCTTTTCACTCTGCACAGCAGGGATGTTCTTAAGAAGTTGCCCTCTGCGAAATTTCACTAAATGGGAACCGTGGACCCTGCATGATGGGATTATAATCACACCAGCCACTCCTTTTACATAATTTTTTGTTTAAGATCCAGTAAGACTCCCTGTTTTTAATACATATAAAGCAATAGACATGTATATGTCGATAAACTGAGGGTTTGCGTCCCTATTGCCTAGTGCAAGCTAAAACAAAAAACCGGTGATATCACATCTACAAATCTCAATGGATTCAAAAACAATATGAAAATTTTTAGCTGACAAGAACATGTCTGCTGCCTGCAGTCCCTGCAATAGCTCACCATGTTGCCTACTAACCAAAAGATCAAAAATTATCGATTTCATGGCGCTGCGAGGTCTGGAAAGAAAAGCTACTTTAAAATTTGCATTGTTTAAGAAATGACTTAAAAGAAAAGAATCATTTTTTTCTGAACACGTTGGAGGTGAAAATGGCTTATTTTAATCTTATCCATGATTTACTATAATTCTATTATTTTTAGCAGCTGGAGTCCAGAAATGATTTTTTTCGATGAATTTAGGATTTTGCCGCAGTATACATCTGCAGTCCCAGAATCCTCCGGTAAGTTAATCCTTCTTGCGATGGGAAACGCCTTTAACCTTCTTGTGAATGAAATATCTGCAACCATTTTGAAATTTTTAATAGTGGGGGGTGTGTGTGTGTGCACGTGCGTGTGTTGCGGGTGTGTGTCTCCAAAGCATGATTTCTTAGAAATGCAGCGGTACTTGTGTGAGTTCTTAGAAACATTGAGAAACATATATACCTTTATGTTCTTTGAATATCATGGATGATGACTCCATTGCTTCTCCTTCATACTTTGTATGGTAGCCATTAAAATATACTTCCTTAGTATGGGAAACCAGTGAAGGCCTCGAGAACACATAACTTCAAGCATGTAGGGTGTTCCTGACATAACTGAAGTGACCAGGCCACAGCAACCACCATGGCCATTGCCTCCCGCCACCTTCACCGCCCCTCCCTCACTCTGCAGTATACATCAGCTGCAAGCTTTCCACAGTGGCTTTCCGCCGAACTTGCCCAGTGGGTTCCTAGATTACTTCTGTGTGCGAGAATAGCCAACCATGTAGTCTGACAAGAGGTATTTACAACTCCTTAGCCTGTTCAGCTGGAAAGAAATCAAAAGATAACACCGAACCCCGAGATGATGTATTACAAATCAAAAGTCCCAATCCATAAATAGCCCACTTGATGAACTGCTAAATGAAAAGCTGATCCTGATTGTTGTCCAGTGTTTTTACATTGTCCTAAGAAATATTTTTAACAAGCCTACTTGGAGAGTTGGGACTGTTTTTAAATGCATGGAATATTATTCTTACCTTTCTGCTGGGAGAGGAGCCTTCCGAGGGGATTCGGATGTAGAGTCCAAGGGAGACCACACCCTAGTTTCACAGCTTGTTTTCTACCGTTTCTGCTTCTTTTTAAATAGGGTTAACAGATACAATTTTACATTAATTTAAGAGCCTTAATCACATGGAGCCAGTCATCCATTTCCCTCTCTCTGAGGGAAGCTCATTGTCCTAGGTGCTCAATAAATGTTTAATTAATGGATTTGATAGAGTTAAGTATCCAAAAAGTGAACGAACCTTCTTGACAATGCTGGCATATTTCTGTGATTTATATTTCTGTCAGAAGTGTGAAATAATCTGGGCTTTTTTTTTTTTTTCTCTTAAAGGTAATCAAAAGCCTCTGTTTTAGGGAAGGGATGCCTTACATTCAGGTTCCATCTACCACTGCTTTATATGCCAGTGGCCTGATAGCGTGAAAAGAAATATCTTCTCTTTTAAACTAGCTGGAGACACTTGATTTCTAAGAACACAGCCTAAAAATTAGAACAACTTGTCTGTCGCCATTTTATAAAATTAATTTATGTCAAACCCAGGGTGACTGGCTCTAGAAGGAAAAGGCATAAAACAGATAACCAACTGTTTTTATGAAATGTATTGTCCAAAGTCAATTTTAAAAAATTATTTTACAAAACTACTTATTTTACCAAACTCAGGTATTTTGATAATGTATTTTTCTTTGATTTAATGATAGTGTTTGTCTTCATTACATAGAAGTTATTCATCTCCTATTTTTGGTGAGACAACTAGAACAATTTCTGCTTTATGAAACATGCAAATAAAAATTAGGAGCTATGTTAAATTTAACTTGCTTTAATGCTAGTCAACCAGTAATTCTTCAGTACACTTAATATGACGGGAAAAACAGCAAGCTGCGCTGTTGCAAATTTTACATTTTCTTTAATAATATGTATTTGTTTACGGTGCCAATTGGGATTAAAAATCATAATTCTAAATTTAAAGTATTTAAATTATAGAAAAATGATTCCATTATTTTGGTAATGGAACAGAGAAATACAAATACAGAAATGTTTTTATCCTTTAGATCTTCTAATGGTGCAGATATTTCTTAACCAATTTCAAGAGTGCCTTATTCAACAACAAAAAAGCTGCACATAAAAAAAGCAAACATGTTAAAAAAAAAAAAAAAAAGCCCTGTCAAAGTGGTAATTTGTCGTCTGATTTTTAATATATGACTTTAATCAATTGCATATTCCTTAATTCTCCAAATGACAATTAAAATTAGGAATCAGTACCTGAAAACGCCATTTATACTTTTGAGTTTGTATTAGAAACATGGCTTTGATGAAATGCCTTTTTCGGTTCATTTTGTTTTTTTGAATTGTGACCACAACCAATAGCTATACTTAATTCTACAGAATTAGTAGGAAAGATATAAATGAGAAGGTCTTTCTAGACAATGGATCTCATCGAACATCATCTTACTGTGTACACTTTTTCCACTACAGTGGCCCACATGTTCTATGGTGACAGACGGCAGCTGGCATTACCACTTACATAGTAAAATATCTTTAAGACAAAAATAAGTTATTTAAAGAAAATGCTGGCCCTGAAACATGAGCTATGCTTAAACTACACATCCCACCTCCATGAGTGAATGAATAAATGAGTTTTCTGCCTGCATCTATGTATTAAGACCTATTGTTTGCTTGTATTAATTGTAGTCCTGGGATAAAAGCATAGAGGTAACTTTCACTGTTGCTTTTTGTACTCTCTCCAATGTTTTGGAGGAAAAATAAGCACAAACAATAGGCTAGAGAAAGTGAATCGATCATAATCGTTGCAGCTTTGACAAGCGTCTACTTTGCTAAATTACAATGGGAAACATTTTTCAGTCTATTGAAATGAATTACAAAATGTTTTTAAATAGAAAATTAGTTTAAAAAATTAGAGGCTGCCTAATCGATAGCTTTCTCTATAAACATACTTGGATTTCTCAAATAAGTAATACCGTAAAAATCTTTTTCTCCAAAGAAAAATCCCCACAAATAAATCTATTGATACCTAGTGACAAGTGGAACCAGATAAAAATGGAATCTATAAGAATTAACCTAATTGACAGCGCTCTGGAGCTAATCCATTTCCATTAGTTATTTGTTCACAGTAGGTACTCATAAGGACTTGTTGAATTGCGGGCTTGGCGCCCATTCTACGAAGAGTTTACAGCCTTCGTGAGTGGGGATAGAAGGCGGCTCGGCCCGCTTATTCAGGTTGAAATTCAAGCTGAACAGCCTGCTGAGAGATGGGATCCACCATCCGGACAGTGGGGGGCTTTGGGGGTGCTGTGAGACTGGTCTGCGACCCAGGTCCAGCAGCGAGTGTGCGGCACAGACCGCAAGGTCGGCGAAGCCCCCTAACCCGCGCCCGGTCAGAGAGCCCGCAGGCCGGCGACCGGGCAGCGGCGGCACCCGGGAGCGCCCCAAGCCAGGCGGGCGCTGACCCCGAGCCCCTACCGCCGCCCTGGCCCCGAACTTCCGCCCTCCCAGGACCTGTCCCGTCCACCCCGCGCGGTCCCCGAACACCAGGGCCGAGGTGCCACCTTCCGCAGGCCGCGGGAAAGGCGCGCCGAGTCCTGCAGCTGCTCTCCCGGTTCGGGAAACGCGGGGGGCGGGGGTGTCGGGCTTGGGACAGCGGAGGATACCGGGGCCACGTTCCCCAACCCAGGCCGCGGGGGCCCGGCCTCCCCGACGCAGACCACGGCGCCCTCAAGGGTTGCCCTCAGGTCCCGCGCTGCGGGCAACTGCCAGCCGTCCCCCCTGGGAGCGTCCGTAGCGTGCCCCAGCACCCCGCCCCGGCCCGGGGCGCTAAGACGGCGGCTGACCGCTGGGCGGTGCGGGGACTACTTTCCACCGCCCTGTCGCGCCCCGCCCCTTGTCCTCGCGCGGCGGAACGCTCCGCGCTCCGCGCTGCGCCGGCGGCGGCAGGATACAGCAGCTTTTGCGCGACTTATAAGAGCTCCTTGTGCGGCGCCATTTTAAGCCTCTTGGTCTGTGGCAGCCGTGTTGGCCCGGCCCCGAGAGCGGAGAGCGAGGGGAGGCGGAGACGGAGGAAGGTCCGAGGAGCAGCTTCAGTCCTCGCCGAGCCGCCACCGCAGGTCGAGGACGGTCGGACTCCCGCGACGGAAGGAGCCTGTTCCCCTGAGGTGCTTGGGCGCTCCTTTCCTTATCCTTCCGGGGCTGCTCCAGCTTCCTCTCGGAGCCAAACTTCGTCGCAGGCGCGCGGTCCGGGCGGCGGGCTGGGAGCCGGGCTGGGCGCAGCCGGGAGGCCTGGGGTTGGGAGCGGGGGGCTCAGGTAGCGGACGGTGGGGGCGGGCCGCGCCCGGGGCGCGGAGGGCGGCGGCCGGGCCCGGGTTCCGGTCGTGCTGCCTCTCGGGGGCCCCGGGGGCATCGCTTGCGGGGAGGGGGTGCCGCGGGGGCGCGTCCAGGAGCCCGGATGGCCGGCGGGGTGGGGGTGGGGGTCTGTGGTTTCCGTCCGGGGCTCTGGCCTTGGCCGAGTTTGGGGGAGGGACCCTGTGCCTTGGGATGCGCCGGGGCCGGGGGGGGGGGCGGGGTGGGGACGGGGGGCTCCGCCTTCTCAGCTCCTGCGGCGAGTTGGGGTTCGGGCGCTGAGGCAGGGACGCCACCCTAGGTCCCATCAGTCCTGGGGATCGGACCAGTGGACTTTCTCTTAAGATTTCTTCTTTCGTTCTTAAGAATAGAAGTGTTGTTATTATTTTTAATACCCTGGCTATGTGAGTTTGAATCGAAGCAACTTTAAACGTTAGAGTAACTAAACTCTTAGTGCAGCCGGTGCGATGCGTCAGTAGGGTGTGCACATGAAAAATCCATGTCTTGCACCTATATTTTAGCGTACTGTGCAGGTGAGTGAAAGCAGTGGATAATGTACTGAGAGTCTTATGGATTTATGGTAGTGGGCATGAGACCCTGGTGAAATAAGAGGGTGGAGGAAGGCGAAGGTGATGGCTTACTGTTTTTTACCAAGTGAACTGCAGGATTCAGCCTCTTGACTCAGAACGCTTCGAGAATTTTGTTCGTAGAAATAATTTAAATTTATTCAAATAGTTTGATGGCAGCTAAAATTGGGTTTTAGAGGATGTTGTTTTTTCAGCGGAGTGAATTTACCCTTCGCTCCAAAACTGGCCAAATGGAATTCAAGCACTGCAACTTCTTTGAGTGTTTTGTCTGGAGAGAGGACTTTGAACCGAGACTTTTCGAAGTTAAGTTCCTATAGCCTGCTTCTGAATCTGCCAAGCTTGAAAGCTTTGGCAGTTGGGTGTAGTTGTTGGCTTACGTTCTCTTCCCTTTTGGAGGGAGCATTGCCTCATACTTTGTATCTTCCAGACATCTGTGGTCTTCCCCCGTCCCCGGCCCCCCACCCCTCGAGTTTGTGAGTGGTGAATGAAGAGAGACTAGGCTGCTGGTATGCAGAGGTCGGCAAAAGGAAATCGAGGAGTGGTTTTAGTGAAATGGGAGCTTTGTATCTTGAATAATGGTGGCTTAGGCTAGACATCAACTTAAAGAGACGGCAGCATTTCCTTTCATAAAGTCTAGGCTAATGTTTTTCAGATCGCTAAGTTGTAGTTTGTCTGGAATTTAGGTAGCCATTTCAGTATTTGTCACATGGTGAACGAACATTCAGTACCTTCAGATGTCTTCGTATTGACTTGTTTTCATCCTAAGAAATATTAAATATAGCCTCAAGTGTTATTTATGTTGTACCGCTGGTTTGTTCCCTGCTTAAATTATTAACATACATTTCTACTTTGGAGGCTTTTCGTTTGAACTGAGGCTGTGCGACATTTATTTTACTTTTATAATTAGATCTTTGAAAATCTCTGATTAAAAAAAAGTACCCTTCAGGGTTTGAGGATGTACTTTCACACCAGACAAAATGTGGCTAATTTGCGCCCAATATTCATTACTTTGACCTAACCTTTGTTCTGAAGGCCATGTACAAGGACAAGGCCCTGAGATTATTGCAACAGTAACTTGAAAAACTTTCAGAAGTCTATTCTGTAGGATTAAAGGAATACTGAGGCTATTCAAGTTTGAAGTCCTGGGGGTGGGGAAAAGTAAAAACCTGTGCTAGAAAGCTTAGTATAGCATGTAACTTTAGAGTCCTGTGGAGTCCTGAGTCTCCCATAGACCAGAACAGTCATTTAAAAGTTTTCGGGAAAAACCGACTTAAAAAAAAAAAGGTGGCTAATAAAAAAATGAAGCATTTAACAGTGTTCAGGTTTCAGAGTATTGAAGAGGGTTTTTTAAAACTGTTATCTGATTATTTCCTTTACTAACATGATATAGAAAAGTGTATTTCCAATATTAAAATTTATCAGACTGAGCTTACTGTTCCCGTTGATGACTGGAATAAAAATTGGCATAAGTGAAGGTCTGTATGCTTGTTTTCGTAACACCACCACCAAGATAGAAAACGAGGAGGCAAGTTTCTTCAAGGGTATTTTGAAATGTGTTAGCAAAACTCTTGCAGATACTCTTTTTTGTTATAGGATGAGGTGGGGAGAGGCGCATGCTAAGTCTTGTTGAAACTAGGGATGTAGAGAATTAAAAGTTTGATATAATTATTTTGTAGTTATAAGTAGCAGTGAAATTAAATCTCCTGCAGTAGACTATGTAAGTATATTTAGCCAAATGAAACCTCAGTGTTATTGAAATGAAATAATACATCTGTCCTGTTACAAGATTATTTTTATTTCTCTTGTGGTTTCCTAGCTGCTGATAATCAATAATTGTAGATGAGTAGGTGGTAAGTTTTAAGTTTGTACTTTGAGCTTAGTCGGAAGCATGCTTGACTGCCAACCCAGGGCACAAAGGATGAAGGATTTTAGAACTGGACAAACTTCTAACAAAAGGTATTTGCAACTCTTTTGTAGTGTGTCATGTTGATTTGTGACATTGTTTTTGAAAATACTGTGTTAACTTAGTTTTGTTGTAGCTTTCTTTTTATTGAAACTGTGGTATCTATTGTTGAAACTGCTTGACTGAGAACATTTTTATACCGTAAAAGTGAATAGTAAAGTAAACATAGCCCAGGAGCTGCTTCTGGTTTGTCCATCGTATGTAGCCATTGCCTCCTTGTACCCTCATTGAGAAGATACTGATTTGCAGATTCAGTTGTCCTTCTTTAACAGACTATGTAATATTGCAGTTGTGATTGTGATAGTTAAGTGGGCCAATCGGTTAAAATAAATACATACTTCTCAGGTTTCACAAAAGGAATATAATATGATTTGTGTTGATTGAAATGAGTAGGAGTTAACTCCTATAGTTTTTCATCACTTAAACTCGGGGAAAGTTCTTTATTTCCTCTGTTTACTTAAGAATGCTGCTTTTGTGTTTCATGCAAGACTGAGCTTGACTCAGTTTGAAACCTAGGCTCATCTGTTGAGGCCTGAACCCTGCTGTCCTTGAGGTATGCATATAATTTGCTTCCTCCCTAAGGAAAAAGAAGCTCTTGAAAGATAAAGTCAATCACATTAGGAACCCGTTTTTAGGGTTTAGCCACTTTTTTTTTTTTTTTTTTTTTAAACTTAGAGGCATCTCTTCTGTTAAGAGACATTCCCCAGTCTCAAAGTTTCCCTCAACTTTGTGAGTAGTGTTGGAGCATGTTTTCATTGCATGCTTGGGTCATGTTGAGTGCCCTCCAGTGGATATAGTATAATGCTTGTGATTTTTTTTTTTTTAATTCCAAACAAGTTTATGTGGAATATATTTATGAATAGTTCTGATGAGGGAGAATCACCTAAGAAACCTTTGATTTCTGAAATCATATTACTGCTAATTAAAATACAGGCTTGAGAAAATGTCTTCTCAGCCAATATTTGCAGTAAAAAAGTTGGGAGGTTTTTTAAGGTCACTTTGAATAGGCAGTTCTGCTTAATATATCGTAATGATAAACCAGAATTTCATTATAGTACTTTAGGAAGTAAAAGATCATGATGTTTAGCTATATTGATGAATTACAGCAGCTGAAATTCTCAGAAAAAAATAAGATGTGAATTGTCAGTTTGTCTATAATCAGTCACAGAGTAAAACAGAAGTGCTCAACTTGATTATATTAGGAAATAGAAATGAAGGCAATTGAGCCAGTGTATGTGACCTAAAATATAATGCCCTTAGTTACCATAGGGTTGGTTTCATTTGTACGTAGTGGTGGGCCATGTTGAATTGTAAGTGTTTTGCCCTTTGAATTTTTTCTTAAAGAGCTTTCTCTAGGCTCCTATGTTAAAGTTCATGGTTTTTCTGTTAGTAATATTATTCTCTGAAAATCCATGTTTCAAATCAATCTAATTAGCAACAGGAATGAAGCTTATTCTAAATTGGCTTTTGGAAGTTACACGGTCAGCATATGGAAATATTTCAGGGTTTAGATTTAAAAAAATTGTTTTTTCAGAATATGTTGCTAGAATGAAAATGTTAGCATAGGGAGGGAAAATGACAGTTATCAATGATTGCTTTACTTTGCCTATGGAATTCAGTGTCATTTTGTGGAAACTGGTATATGATTTTTTTTTTTTTTTTTTTTCTACTTAAAAAATGTTTTTTTTCTATTTTTAGGGTTTTTTTTTTTTTTTTTTTTTAAGGCAAGAGTGCTTCAAGTGCTTTGTGTGAATGATTATTTCAGGGTGGATTAAATATTCCTCTGTCAGGGACAATACTTATAAATTAGTGATTTCCAAGTTGGTGCTTAGTATTTCCAACATTTACTGTCTATAAGCTTCTGTTCTGATTTTTCAAGAGTTTCCTAAGAAAATGAGAGTAGGCTTCAAAGTTCTTTGAAAAATTATGTACATACAACTTACTGAAAAAAATGGCTACTGGGGACTTAATTTTTCTCCTGAAATGGGTTACTTGCCTTCATTAATGTAGCATACTACAATTTGATGTTCAAGATACGTTACTAAGAATAACATCGTTTTCACAAGCCTTATATAGGATTGGTCTTACTACATTATAGTGGGAATGGCTACTCAAATGTCTCCAGGGCCAGTTAGGTATTGGGTAAATGGGACCATGTGGACTATTACAAATTGAAGTGCACATGAAGCAGCCAGTCATAAGCAGCTCCAGCCATTGTGTGGGAATACGGTTTATGTTGCCGGATCATCTGATTTCTTTCCACTAA